CGGGCCCTCCGACGTCAGAAGGCGAGCGCTGATCTCCACCGCAGTGAGGGACCGGTGTACGCACCTGGTGATCGAGTCTGGCTCTCTACCAGAAACCTGCCCCTCCGCCTGCCCTGTCGGAAACTGGGTCGGCGGTTTGTAGGGCCATTTAAAGTCCTGAGAAGGTTGAACGAGGTATGTTATAGATTACAGCTACCTGTGGAGTATAAGTGTATTAACCCCTCGTTCCATGTGTCCCTTCTCAGGCCGGTGGTAGCGGGCCCGCTCCAAGAAAATGAGATAGGGGAGACTCCCCCGCCCCCATTGGACATCGAGGGGGCACCGGCGTACTCCGTGAGGTCCATCTTGGATTCGAGACGTCGGATGGGGGGTCTTCAGTATCTAGTGGAGTGGGAGGGGTACGGTCCGGAGGAGCGGTGCTGGGTGCCGAGGAGAGACATTTTGGACCCGTCGCTCCTGACGGAATTCCATCGGGGGTATCCGACGCGCCCTGCTCCACGTCCTCCGGGTCGTCCCCAAGGCCGGAGTCGGCGCACGTCTGGAGCCGCGCGTCAAGGGGGGGGTACTGTCACGGTTTCGGCCGAGGCTGCCTCTCTCCCTTGTTCGGGCAGGTTTCGGCGTTCATCGTCTCCGGAATTCTAGCTGCCACCGTTGCATGTTCTATGTTTCCTGTTTGATTAGTTTTGTCTGTTAGCCACACCTGTCTTGTGTTATGTCTCATTAAGCACCCTATTTAGTTTCCTTGTTGTTAGTGTAGTGTTGTGTGTAATTGTTTCGTGTCAGGTGTTTGTGCGTTACCAGTGTTTCGGTACGCCAGTTACGATTTACTTCCTCCTCGGTTGAGGAGAGTTTTTGCGCCCTGTGTTTGTGCGCTCGTTTTGACGCCTGTGTGCGTCTGTTGGCCTCTGGCCGTTTTTTGGATTATTTTGCACTCGCTAGTAAAGTCTTGTTGGACTGTACATCTGCTTCTGCGCCTGATTCCACACCTCACCATTTCTAACACCGTGACAATAATTCACTGTATCACAATTCCAGTGGGTCAGAAGTTTACATACACTAAGTTGACTGTGCCTTTAAACAGCTTGGAAAATTCCAGAAAATGATGTCATGACTTTAGAAGCTTCTGATAGGCTAATTGACATAATTTGAGTCAATTGGAGGTGTACCTGTGGATGTATTTCAAGGCCTACCTTCAAACTGAGTGCCTCTTTGCTTGACATTATGGGAAAATCAAAAGAAATCAGCCAAGACCTCAGAAAAATAATTGTAGACCTCCACAAGTCTGGTTCATCCTTGGGAGCAATTTCCAAATGCCTGAAGGTACCACGTTCATTGTGCAAACAATAGTATGCAAGTATAAACACCATGGGACCACGCAGCCGTCATACCACTCAGGAAGGAGACGCGTTCTGTCTCCTAGAGATGAATGTACTTTGGTGTGAAAAGTGCAAATCAATCCCAGAACAACAGCAAAGGACCTTGTGGAGATGCTGGAGGAAACAGGTACAAGAGTATCTATATCCACAGTAAAACGAGTCCTATATCGACGTAACCTGAAAGGCCGCTCAGCAAGGAAGAAGCCACTGCTCCAAAACCGCCATAAAAAAGCCAGACTACGGTTTACAACTGCACATGGGGACAAAGATCGTACTTTTTGGAGAAATGTCCTCTGGTCTGATGAAACAAATTCTGTGGTGGTGCTTTGCTGCAGGAGGGACTGGTGCACTTCACAAAATAGATGGCATCATGAGGAAGGAAAATTATGTGGATATATTGAAGCAACATCTCAAGACATCAGTCAGGAAGTTAAAGCTTGGTCGCAAATGGGTCTTCCAAATGCACAATGACCCCAAGCATACTTCCAAAGTTGTGGCAAAATGGCTTAAGAACAACAAAGTCAAGGTATTGGAGTGGCCATCACAAAGCCCTGACCTCAATCCTATAGAACATTTGTGGGCAGAACTGAACATGTGTGTGCGAGCAAGGAGGAATGGGCTAAAATTCACCCAACTTATTGTGGGAAGCTTGTGGAAGGCTACCCAAAACGTTTGACCCAAGTTAAACAATTTAAAGGCAATGCTACCAAATACTAATTGAGTGTATGTAAACTTCTGACCCACTGGGAATGTGATGAAAGAAATAAAAGCTGAAATAAATCTCTCTCTATTATTATTCTGACATTTCACAGTCTTAAAATAAAGTGGTGATCCTAACTGACCTAAGACTGGGAGTTTTTACTATTATTAAATGTCAGGAATTGTGAAAAACTGAGTTTAAATGTATTTGGCTAAGGTGTATGTAAACCTCCGACTTCAACTGTATCAAGATTGTAAAGACGGACACACATTGGTTTGAAATCAATTAAAACACTTCAGCCTGTACACGTTTTTATATATTTTTATTATAAATAGTAAATAGTGCTGCATTTGACACAAGACATATTACAACAAAAATCATTTTATGCAGTCATAAATGAAAATTATATGTATACAAAAGAAACAAGGCAGAAAAATAAAGGTGTACAGATGTAGGATCTTAATTTGAGCCAGTTTGCTACAGCATGAAAATAATGCTGCAGCAACCGGAAATGTGAATTATTGTGTGGATTATACTTAATATACATTTTTGTAAGGGTTGATACACTTTTAGTAATGAAAAACAAAAAATACACTACAAGTTTAACATTTCCTGTATTGCAGGAAAGTTATCCTGCAACAGGGTGATTAAATTAAGATCCTATATCTGTCATTTCCATCGCTGTTTAAGATTTACTGGTCAGCACCACTGAGTGCTAAGATCAGGGATACTAACAGAGGGGAGGTGGACTGAATAAATACTAAATGAACAGGAGTGGTATGTTTCATCAGGTCCAATTAACACTTGACTGGACTGTGTGACTGGTAGCCTGGTCCCAGATCTGTATGGGCAGAATCTTAACTTGAGTGTATGTAACTCAGATTTATATTCAAATCTTTCATCTGCAAAAATCCAAGTTACCTGTACATGCACAGATCTCGTGTTAGGATTATTATTGCTTTAAAGTGGTCCGAGCCACCAGGCAAGTGCACAGATAAGGCTCTACCTGTGCAGAGCACATGCCCATTGGCCTTTCAGTCTCTTTCAGTGGTGGTATATATATATTTTTTGTGTAAATGTTTTGTGGTTGTTGTTCTGAACCCACTGCGCGCAAGTCGGCGTTAAATTCTTATCTATGCTTCAGAACCAAAAAGTTGTGCGTCTTGATTGTTGACCAATGACCAGTCATCAGCATTGGCGGGCAAAGTCAGACGCGCATATCCAGATTAGTGACCAGATCTGGCAAAAACAGAGTAGGCCTATGTTTATCATCCATATAAAATACAGTCTACTACTGACTCATTTTTGCCAGAACAACAGGCTAGGTGGCGATTTGATTAGTCATTTTCATATTTCAGATAGGGCTTGTTTGGGTGGCTACTGCTGGCAATATGTCTAAAGATAAGCAGCTGTAACATCGCACTGCCTTCAATATTATGGGATGAAGATGTAACATATCTGGTGAATTTATTACAATTTTTGTAAGGAAGAACAGGGATACTGGGCTGATATCGAGCACTCTGTAGGCAGGCTACCCTCCAACGTGACATCATTTCCATACGATCCTGCAACCTCCACTAAAAGTAGGCCGTATGATTTTGCTTGCTCTGGACATGACATATCCCTAGTTCATATTGCCTGCTAATATGAATGACTTTCAGCTCCAAATGCAGGTGTAAAATGCAGTTTATTTCTGTAGCCATGCGTTTTGAAAATGCATCACCATTTATGGCTGTAATGACAGGCAAGTTTTGTAGGCCGACCACTCCTTTTTGGGGGTCGCAGGTCAAAAAGTTTGGAAAAACACTGGGATGCATGATCGTGGCAACAAATGGAGTTGGGTTGAATCTAGTAATGGTAGTCAACAGTATTTCTTACAATCTTCTATTTTGACTGGAATTGTGTTGGTCATTGTTAATAAGTGCAGCATTAATTCCAGTTCAAAATAGTTTAGCAAAATACTTTACTCATCAGATTATGCTGCTTTCGCCTCTTCTTGTAATAATTTGCCGCTGTTGTGGGAATTTCATTGAGGGGGTGCCCTTTTTTTTGTTTGAGCACATGCCCCCCAAAAGGTCTGTGCACTGCTCTGCGAGCAACCCAGCTATCTTTGTTTTTCTCAATACAATATAGATTACAAAAAGAATGTAGTAGGCTAGTCAATTCATTTCATCTGAGGTATGAATGTATTGCACTTCTTTGGGTTGAAGCAGCTTCCATCTACTACTGTATGTCTCGATCTCTCTGTCTCTCTACTATCATCCTAGATGGGTGAAAGACTGAGTCCACTGTCCAAACCTTTACTTTACTTTATCCCTACAGTCATTTTTACAAATCAAAGTGATTGCAGTTTTTCTTCTCCTGAGAGAACCCATTTCATTTCCCCAAATCATGTGAAATAATACATAGTATCAGTGTACAGTATAAGACCTTTCCCTAAGACATTGTGAGTGCCATACATAAAGCATTGTGGCTGAGTGAGTGGTGTGCCTATTGCAGGTCCATAGAAAGATCACCGTTAGCTTCAGGATTGTGCCTTAAAACCTTATTTTCCTCACATCACATTGGCCCTGAAAGCGCATTCATGGAAGAAAAACTGTTTACAAGTCCTCTCCCACTCTCTGCCACTTATTACAAATTAAAGGCAGAGTCTTGAATGAGTGAATGTTGTTTTATTCACCCCCTTTTTTCGTTTATCCTCTGCCTCACCTCCTCTTCTTCTCCTTCTCTCCATTTACTTTTCTCTTCAAGCATGGAGAGCGAGGCGTGCTTGGTTTTCAGAGCATGACGTGAAGTGCGAGTGGGGCGAGAGCCAGGTAACTGGAGAGGGCTCCCCCTTTGGTTCTGATTATCCCATTGAGACACCCCCCTCACATCCCCAACCAGGGTACCCCACCCCAACACGAATCCCAAAACAACCCCCCTCAGTCCATTTCTCGGGGTTGTCCCTTCTCCTCAGGGGCTGGGTGGGGAATAGGCAGAGGAGGAGGAAAGGGGGGGAAGGAGGGATTTCTCCGGAGTTGACTGTCAGGTTGGCCAGAGATCTCATCCAGTCCTGGACATGTTGGGGCTTCAGATAATGAAAGGCACCTGAGAGAGAGAGAGCGAGAGAGAGAGAGAGAGAGAGAGATGAGAGAGAGAGAAGAGATAGAGAGATAGAGAGAGAGATAGAGAGAGGAGAGAGATATATCTCTCTCTCTCTCTCTCTATCTCGCCTCGCTCTACTTACCTCTTCCTCCTCTCTGCTCTCTCTCGCTTAGAGAGAGAGCGAGAAGCGTTTCCACTTTCTCCACTGGGTTTCATGTCAGTCTCTACCTCCTGTGCCAGGGTAACTTTATGCCTGATGGGTGAAGGGGTTGAAGAGAGCAGTGAGAGGTGGAGTGAACGGAGGATGTAAGGAAGAGGGTGAGAGGGGGTGAGGGAGTTAAAGAGAGGCAAGGAGTGTGAGGCAGATCTGGCGCTTTCCCCTTTGGCAGGGCTGTACTGTACTGGGGAGAGTTAGAGTGGGCCTGCCTGCCCTGGCTGCGTTGGTCCTGGATGTGGCTCTGCTCCAGTGATCAATAACAACTCAGACTGCATCTGACCTCCACAGGGACACATGGTTCCAATCCCTGCCTGCCAGAGGCCATTTCGCTCCCCGTTAAAAAGACCCCCTCTCAACCCTACCTTCCAACCAACTCTCTCTTACCAACAACCCCCTGCCCCCACAAGCTGCCTGCACATTGGTCCTGAGCGTGGACCTCCCCAAATTAATGACATCAAGATGCCGCTACTGATGGGCCAGGTACGGGCCAGTCAACATGTGGTAGTGTACTTCCCCAGCCCCTCACCCCCACCCCACTAACTCTTCCCCGCCTGTCAAACATGCTTTGGGGAAGCAGCTCCTTTGATTTGGGGAGGTATCTTTGTTACCCAGGGGTCATTACATGGCTAGGTGAACGAGCGGAGGGTTTGATGGTCCAGCTCATGACACAGGGTCGTGGAAGGTCACAGGCTGATGGTTATGTGGGAGAGAGGCCCACTGACATACCTCTGTATCTGGCCACGTAGATATATGTTGTGGGTAAATGCTCACAGGTAATAGTAATGTAAACTGAAGTGCCCCCTCGACTACTAGCCGTGTCTCTGACATACGTGTAATGTCACCGCCTGATTTGATAGCGTGATTCGAGAGGCTCACTCATCATGTTGGCCTTTGCAATTAACGTGGGTTATGATTCTGAAAATCTAAACCTTGAGTATGGTCTTTAATCATAGGAGACTGTATACGGATATATGTAAAAATGAATGGAGTTAGTATACCTTTAATGCTAATATAATGTGTCTTTTATACAGGTATTTTAATAGAAATTATTTTTTGAATGACTTACAATCGATGCATTCAAACAATGAAGTGGCTGAAATAACTACACACAAGTACACATATATATACAAAATAAAACATGTTACTAACAGTCCCAGTGTCACGACTTCCTCCGAGGCTGCCTCCTCTCCTTGTTCAGGCAGGCTTCGGCGTTCGTCGTCACCGGCCTTCTAGCCACTGCCGCTCCTCATCTCATTATTCCATTTGTTTTGTCTTGTTTATTACACATACCTGGTTCATATCCCCTCATCAGTACCTGTATAAGTGTTCCCTCTGCCCCCTTGTCTTTGTGTGTGAGGATAGTGGAGCTCCTTGTATTTTGTATCGCCAGGTTATTTTTCTCTGTGTGCCTTGTTGGTTCCAGTGCGCCTGTTTTGCACACTGGACTGTTTTGACGCTTTACTGCATAACTCTGTATTCCGGAATAAATCCTGTTATTCTGTGATTTACCCTCCTGCGCCTGACTCCTTCAAATCACCCATCACAGAATTACACACCCGCCATGGAGTCAGCAGGAGAGGAGCACATGCCTGGAGTTGTGGCACAGGTCCGGGAGCATTCGACGATGCTAGCCAGCTTGGGAGAAGCGATGGATCGGGTTCTCCAGGTCGTCCAACGCCTGGAGAGGAGAGAACCCGATCTGTCGGGACCAGCTGAGTGACCGGATCCAGCCACCCACACCCCAGCACCCAGAGGGATCCATATATCCCGACCACGGGATTTCGACGGGACAGCTGCTCTCTGCCAGAGATTCCTCCTACAACTGGAGCTATATTATTCGAACATCAGCCCGGCTCCATCGGAGTGGGAGAAGGTGTCCGCCCTCGTCTCCTGTCTCTCGAGGAAAGCCCTGGAGTGGGCCAACGCAGTTTAGAGTGAAGGAGGAGCTGCATTGGACAACTACAGGGAGTTCGCTCGCCTCTTCCGGGCAGTCTTCGACCACCCGCCCGAAGGTAGAGAGGCGGGCGAGCAGCTGGTCCACCTGAGGCAAGGGATGAGGACCACGCAGGACTTTGCCCTGGAGTTTCGGACTCTAACGGCTGGGTCCGGGTGGAACGAGCGGGCCCTCAATCGACCACTTTCAGTGCCATCTATGAGAGGACGTCCGAAGGGAGCTAGCCTGCCGGGACACCATGTTGTCCTTCGATCAACTGGTGGACATGGCCACCCAGTTGGACAACCTGCTGGCTGCTAGAGGACGTCCTGGAAGGGGCCCAGCGTAAGGCACCTTGGCACCTCCCAGCAGGTAAGTTACAGCCCTTACCAGTTCCACAACGGCCATGGTCCCACTTGTGTATTGACTTCCTTACTGATCTTCCCCTCTCTCAAGGTAACACCACCATCCTGGTGGTTGTGGACCACTTTTCCAAAGCCTGCCGCCTCCTTCCACAGCCCTGCAGACTGCAGAGGCCCTGTTTACACACGTCTTCCGGCACTACGGGGTGCCAGAGGACATAGTGTCTGACCGGGGTCCCCAGTTCACATACAGGGTCTGGAAGGATTTCATGGAACGTCTGGGGGTCTCAGTCAGCCTGACCTCTGGTTTTCACCCCGAGTCTAATGGGCAGGTGGAACGGGTGAATCAGGATGTGGGTAGGTTCCTGCGGTCCTACTGCCAGGACCGGCCGGGGGAGTGGTCGGTGTTCTTGCCATGGGCCGAATATGCCCAGAACTCTCTCCGCCACTCCTCCACTAACCTAATGCCATTCCAATGTATTTTAGGTTATCAGCCAGTTCTGGGACCATGGCATCAGAGCCAGACCGAGGCACCTGCGGTGGATGACTGGTTTCAGCACGCGGAGGAGACGTGGAACGCTGCTCACATCCACCTCCAATGCACCGTGTGTCGCCAGAAGGCCAACGCTGACCGCCACCGCAGTGAGGCCCCGGTCTTTGTACCGGGTGATCGGGTCTGGCTCTCGACCCGGAATCTGCCCCTCCGACTGCCCTGTCGGAAGCTGAGCCCGCGGTTTGTGGGGCCGTTCAAAGTCCTGAGTAGAATAAACAAGGTTACTTGTAGGTTATTATTCCCTCCAGATTACCGTATTAACCCCTCGTTCCATGTGCGGGAGATCCCGCCGCCCCCTCTGGACATCGAGGGGGCCCTGGCGTACTCCGTCTGTTCCATCCTGGTTTCGAGGCCTTCAGTACCTCGTGGATTGGGAGAGGTACGGTCCGGAGGAGCGGTGCTGGGTCCCGGTGAGGGATATCCTCGATCCCTCCCTGTTGCGGGATTTCCACCGTCGCCATCCGGCTCGCCCTGCTCCGCGTCCTCCTGCTGAAGCTGCGCGTCAAGGGGGGGGGGGGGGGATATTGTCACGACTTCCCAGGCTGCCTCCTCTCCTTGTTCGGGCAGGCTTCGGCGTTCGTCGTCACCAGCCTTCTAGCCACTGCCGCGCCTCATCTCATCATTCCATTTGTTTTGTCTTGTTTATTACACACACCTGGTTCATATCCCCTCATCAGTACCTGTATAAGTGTTCCCTCTGCCCCCTTGTCTTTGTGTGTGATTGTTTACCGTGAGGATAGTGAAGCTTGGTGGAGCTCCTTGTATTTTGTATCACCAGGTTATTTTTCCCTGTGTGCCTTGTTGGTTCCAGTGCGCCTGTTTTGCGCACTGGACTGTTTTGACGCTTTACTGCGTAACTATGTATTCCAGAATAAATCCTGTTATTCTGTGATTTACCCTCCTGCGCCTGACTCCTTCAAATCACCCATCACAGCCAGTGCAGCAATAAATAGTACATAATATTCCCAGTTCAAAAACCCACCTTGCTCTGTCCGTATTGTCCGTACTGGTAGGAGGGGTGGTGTTCCACGGCGTAGGCTGGTGAGCTGTAGGTGGGTGGGCAGTAGGACTGGGAGCTGGGCATGGTGGGCATGCTGGTCAGGCCTGGCAGACCCTCCAGGCCCCGCTGGGAGCCGTGGCAGCTGGCCGCCATGCCAACCCCGGGCTCCAGCCCTCCGGTCAGGGGAGAGAGGGCAAAGTCACTCTGGTGGCTGGGCTGGTGGGGCACTCCTCCAGGGTTCAACAGCCCCATCACCTGGAGAGACAGAGGAGAGAATGGAATGGAGTGTGGTGTGATAGAGTAGAGTAGAGTAGAATAAAAAAGAAAATGTAAAAGAAAATAATACTTTGTCTCATACAGATGATGCATAAATGAACACATAAGTACAGCCCTTACATGGCTTAATCCATTAATACAAACGCACACGTAATATGTAACTTCTTTACACGTAACACATACTTTTGCATAGATCATGCATACATGTCACTAGGACATATGCGTGAAAGTTCAATTTGAGCACTCATATCACGAGTTAGGGTATGTACAGAGTCACACAGTACAGATTGGAGATGCTGTGTCAGTGAAGACAAGAGGAGAGTTCAAGATGGAGGAAGAACAACAGGAATTGACTGCCGGTGAATTTACTACAGTAGTAAAGTTGTGTTACTAAACCCCACTGGGCCTAAAATAAATTCTGTCAGTTCACATCAGGAAAATGTCAGTCTCTAGAATCATTAAATGCATTTTCCAGGAATATATTTGTGAGAACATATTTAATTTCTGACTTTCTTTGAAGGCAGTCCTGTATGTAACACAAGGAAAATGTATAAAAAATATACATACGGTGAGGGAAAAAAGTATTTGATCCCCTGCTGATTTTGTACGTTTGCCCACTGACAGACATGATCAGTCTATAATTTTAAAGGTAGGTTTATTTGAACAGTGAGAGAAAGAATAACAACAACAAAATCCAGAAAAACGCATGTCACAAATGTTATAAATTGATTTGCATTTTAATGAGGGAAATAAGTATTTGACCCCTCTGCAAAACATTACTTAGTACTTGGTGGCAAAACCCTTGTTGGCAATCACAGAGGTCAGACGTTTCTTGTAGTTGGCCACCAGGTTTGCACACATCTCAGGAGGGATTTTGTTCCACTCCTCTTTGCAGATTTTCTCCAAGTCATTAAGGTTTCGAGGCTGACGTTTGGCAACTCGAACCTTCAGCTCCCTTCACATATTTTCTATGGGATTAAGGTCTGGAGACTGGCTAGGCAACTCCAGGACCTTAATGTGCTTCTTCTTGAGCCACTCCTTTGATGCCTTGGCCGTGTGTTTTGGGTCATTGTCATGCTGGAATACCCATCCACGACCCATTTTCAATGCCCTGGCTGAGGGAAGGAGGTTCTCACCCAAGATTTGAAGGTACATGGCCCCGTCCATCATCCCTTTGATGCGGTGAAGTCGTCCCCTTAGCAGAAAAACACCCCCAAAGCATAATGTTTCCACCTCCATGTTTGACGGTGGGGATGGTGTTCTTGGGTCATAGGCAGCATTCCTCCTCCTCCAAACACGGCGAGTTGAGTTGATCCCAAAGAGCTCGATTTTGGTCTCATCTGACCACAACACTTTCACCCAGTTCTCCTCTGAATCATTCAGATGTTCATTGGCAAACTTCAGAAGGCCCTGTATATGTGCTTTCTTGAGCAGGGGGACCTTGCGGGCGCTGCAGGATTTCAGTCCTTCACAGCGTAGTGTGTTACCAATTGTTTTCTTGGTGACTATGGTCCCAGCTGCCTTGAGATCATTGACAAGATCCTATCGTGTAGTTCTGGGCTGATTCCTCACCGTTCTCATGATCATTGCAACTCCACGAGGTGAGATCTTGCATGGAGCCCCAGGCCGAGGGAGATGTACAGTTATTTTGTGTTTCTTCCATTTACGAATAATCGCACCAACTGTTGTCACCTTCTCACCAAGCTGCTTGGCGATGGTCTTGTAGCCCATTCCAGCCTTGTGTAGGTCTACAATCTTGTCCCTGACATCCTTGGAGAGCTCTTTGGTCTTGGCCATGGTGGAGAGTTTGGAATCTGATTTATTGCTTCTGTGGACAGGTGTCTTTTATACAGGTAACAAGCTGAGATTAGGAGCATTCCCTTTAAGAGTGTGCTCCTAATCTCAGCTCGTTACCTGTATAAAAGACACCTGGGAGCCAAAAATCTTTCTGATTGAGAGGGGGTCAAATACTTATTTCCCTCATTAAAATGCTAAATCAATTTATAACATTTTTGACATGCGTTTTTCTGGATTTTTTGGTTGTTATTCTGACTCTCACTGTTCTAATAAACCTACCATTAAAATTATAGACTGATCATTTCTTTGTCAGTGGGCAAACGTACAAAATCAGCAGGGGATCAAATACTTTTTTCCCTCACTGTACATTCAACTTTACATAAACAAAACCATAAAATATATAAAAATCACGCTATGCTTTTATGAGACTTTATGAGGCAACTCCGCGTCATTTTACTTTTAATCCTACCCTGTGATGTCACAGAGAAGCATTTATTCTGATCTTTTTAACTACAGATCATTGAAACACAATTTTCACGTATGTAGACATTGGTTTGGTGCTGGAGATAATGAATATGAGGTTGAAAAGTGGCGGAGTTGCCCTTTAACATTTATACCTACTCTTCATTGGCTAACCAAATCATACCTATTGATTCCTATTTCCTGCTGATGATGACTATGTAACTTGGTGTAATGTAAATCAGGTAGTTAGCAGAATAATCTCCCCTCTTCCCTTCTCTCCTCTCCTCTATTCTCCTCTCCTATCTTCTCTCTATTCCTCTCTTTCTTCTCTCCTATCATCCTCTCTCCTCTTCTCCTCTCCCCTCCTGTCCTCTCCTGGTTGTGACCATAAGAGACACATTATACTGTGTTCACCCAGACACATGGTTCCTGTTACATCGTTTCCTAACTGACGGACGGACAGGGGAGCCTGCGTCGGTTAGGGACCGCACAGTTCCGTTTATCTTCCATGCTAGCTAGCCTTTTCCCCCAAGAATTACTCTGTGCAATTTTTACTGTATCCTATAGAATTGAATTGAAAAGGTTGTTCATGGAGCCTAATTGCTATGTTCAATTTATAGTTGGCCTACCATGAAACATAAAAATGACATAAAGATATGAAATGACATTCACAATACAAAACCTATGGTAAATAACTGTTTGATAGATGTTGTCATCAGTGTGTGCTAGATAAAACAGATGGTGTGTTTAACAGTATGGTATACTTTTATGAATGACCTTTTATGTGTTTGGACAGTTTAGTAAAGGAGAAAAACAGACCCATCCCTCTCTCCCTTTCACCCCACCCCCACCCCTCTCTCTCTTTTCCCTTCCTCCCTTCCTCTCTCTCCAGCTTTCTCATTTGATGCCCAAATTCACCGTGTCCTTGTGGGGCCAACAAGGAGAGGCCACAGGGTACGTGAGAACAAGGAGTATGATTCTTTGACACATTTCCAATAAGCGTGTGTGTATGTGTGTGTGGCACTTTTTGTTTCTGATGTCAGGGGTTAAGAGGTCTCCTTGGTGATACATCGTGAACAGCTGCATGAGAGTTTGCGTGAGAAGAGATGTCGTCAAAACAAGGGGAAAATAGGTGGAGTGAAAGGGGAATTAGAAAGAGGAGAGCGAGGAGAGAGAGAAGAGAGAGATAGGCAGGAGTGTGAGAGACAGAAGAGAATGAAAGAGACCGATAGACAGAGAAAGAGAGAGAGAGAGAGAGAGAGAGAGAGAGAGAGAGAGAGAGAGAGAGAGAGAGAGAGAGAGAGAGAGAGAGAGAGAGAGAGAGAGAGAGAGAGAGAGAGAGACAATACTGTGAGAAAAAAATAGAGTTTAAAAAGAGGCAGAGAAAATGTCAGAATGCTGAGCTAATGGTGAATGATTGAAAGATAATGGTGTTGCTTACCCACCTGGCAGCCACACACACAGACACACACAGACACACACACACAGTCTTGTGTACAACTAACTTTGTGGGGACACACAATTCAGTCCCATTCAAAATCCTATTTTCCCTAATTTTGTTTGTTTACTATTCTTGTGGGGGCTTCTGGTCTCCACAAGTATAGTTAAACACGTCCACACACACAAGGCCGGACAGCCACACACACACTATCTGTCTAAGGGTATGTAATTTACAGGAGTGCTGTCAGAGGAATCTAACCTAACGCGTCTGAGGAACATGCTCATGTGTGACTGACTACAAATGGGAAACATATGGAGGTCAACACACCCCATTCATCTCACAGTGTGTGTGTGTGTGTGTGTGTGTGTGTGTGTGTGTGTGTGTGTGCGTGTGCGTGTGCGTGTGCGTGTGCGTGTGCGTGTGCGTGTACGTGTACGTGTGCGTGTGCGTGTGTGTGGGTTGAGGGTGAGAAAGTATACAGAAAGGTTTTTTTCTGGAAATGTTGACAGGCGTAGACAACAAAACCATATAGGTCTGAATGACATGTTGTGTTGTACTGCTGTCATGGGGAGAGTATTTAACACATGTCCTCAGAGCTGAGATTAGAGAAAGCATTAGAGGAAAGATAACTGTGTACAATCCCTTTGATAAGGCTACCTGATCAAAAAAAAACTGTTTGTGTGTGTATGTGTGTGTGTATGTGTGTGTGCGTGCGTGTGTGTGTGTGTGTGTGCGTGCGTGCGTGCGTGCATGCATTTGTGTGTTTACATGTGTGCGTGTGTGATTGCCTGTGTGTGTCTGAGACTGTTTGTGTATGCGCGCACATATTTGTCTCAGCCAGTGTATGCCAGTGTGTGTATTTCTCCAGCCCTTCTGCTCTGTGATTGAAGCCCCGGCGGTGTCTCTGTTTTTCGGTGGTTCCGGGGATTAAGTCTCATCGGTGTGCAAAGCCTGACCGCTCGCTGCGCTGGTGAGAACGGATTCCTCTGGTATGCATCGGATCAGCTAGCCAGACGCCTGAGACCCCACGCCACAGGGAGCTAGCCCTCAGTATACTGGGGCAGGCTAGAATGGTCATATAGTTCCCTTTATGTTTTACTACCAACCAAAGCACTACCACTCAGGGCATAGGCCGAACTACTCATAGCATAGGGCTAACTCAGTGGCGACGTATTCATACACTACTGTTAAAGCACCATATAACCAAAGCGTAACATTCACAGAGCTACAAAAAACACCACAGGAACTGTTTTTCACTAACTAAAGCCCCAAATAACTCAGCACTGTTTAATGATCAGATAACCCAAAATAACAATATACTGTAACAATCCACAGTATCGAGGCTTTACTGTGTAGAGATTACAGAGCTTTGTTGGTAGGTCTAATTGTAAAGTTTTAGAGGTTTTCATCCACTCACTATTAATGTCATAAAATGTATTCATTTGCATTCCCTCTCTTGTATTAATTTAAAATCCTCACATAAATGCCATCCAGTCTGAAATGCAAATGAGCATATTCCAGTATACATAAAAAAGTGCAGATGAATACATTAATTAAAACAAATTAGTCAACAAAGTGAGTCATTTGCATAAATTACACACCGCATTACTAAGGGTTAGATTCCTTCATTGCAATCAATTAGCACACTGGAACGTACCATGATTGCAATTCCATATGGACACAAACATTCCAGAAGTGTGCGTTTGACTGTGTGCATTTGACTGTGTGTGTGTGTGTGTGTGTGTGTGTGTGTGTGTGTGTGTGTGTGTGTGCCAGTGGCTTGTATTCATGGATGCCAAGGGAAGCCAGGCTTCCCCCAAAAAACTACCAAGATATATAATATATAATAATTTATATTTAGTCTATGTTTCATAATGTTCCTTCAATTCGCAGGAGGCTGAATGTATCTCACCGGAGAAAGCATGTGAGCGAGCAAAACAGCGCCCCTCTGTGAATGGTCCTGGCGCAGCAAAAACAAGTGTCAGGGGTATTTGGTATTTCATTAGGATCCCCATTAGCTGTTGCGAAAGCAGAAGCTACTCTTCCTGGGGTCCACACAAAACATGAAACATGACATAATACTGAACATTCATAGACAAGAACAGCTCAAGGACAGAACTACATCAATTTAAAAATGGCACACGTAGCCTACATATCAATACATACACACAAACTATCTAGGTCAAATAGGGGAGAGGCATTGTGCTGTGAGGTGTTGCTTTATCTGTTTTTTGAAACCAAGTTTGCTGTTCATTTGAGTAATATGAGTTGGAAAGGAGTTCCAATTGCTCTCTATAATACTGTACACTTTGTTCTGGATTTGGGGACTGTGAAAAGACCTCTGATGGCATGTCTGGTGGGGTAAGTGTGTGTGTAAGTTGACTATGCAAACCATTTGGGATTTTCAGCACATTAATGTTTCTTATAAAAAGAAGAAGTGATGCAGTCAGGGAAGCCAGTTTGGATTTGGCTTCACACCAATCACATCAAACCAAAAGCCAAACGTCATTTACAGAAAAAACATGAATTGTTGCATCTTGTTGTGGTGTTGTCCTCTGGTAGCTACCTAAAATTGTCCCTTTCCTAAATTAGCCATGGATGGAGATAGGGATTTGGACTTGTGGTTTTACTTAATTCTCCGTACTGGCCAATGATTATAACGGCAATTCTGATCCAATTATAAATTCATACATTGTGCCGCTTGTCTTAGAGCAGGGTTCTTCAATTCCGGTCCTGGAGGGCCGAAACACCTCTGTTTTTCATCCTCTCCTTCTAATCAGGGGCTAATTCAGACCTGGAACACCAGGTGAGTGCAATTAACTACCAGGTAGAAATAAAAAACAGAATTGTTTCGGCCCTCCAGGACCGGAATTGAAGAACCCTGTCTTAGAGGATGGAAATGCATTATGTAGCTAGATGTAGTAGGCTAATGTTAACTAGCTGGCTCATCGTTGCCCATGAAAGGAAGTTAGGCTAGCGAGCAAGCATTTTAGCCAGGTAGCCTAGGTCAACGTGTACTGTATGACAGTCATAGACCGTTTCAGCAACATTAAAGAGAGGAGGAGGAGGGCATTGGCGTTTCTCTAAAAGTAGTGTGAGTCAACATGTTTCTTCTACTTACAAGCACGCACGCACGCACACACATAAATCAGTGCCATGGACAGCCACATCATATTTAGCTTACGTTGATTGGACTAAATTGTTTTTGGTATCTTTTAGTTGTCACTGTATTAGACTAAGCATAGGTGATTTGATGATGTTGAAATGTTGAAATTGAAATGGTGCTGGAATAGTGGAGGCAGCTCCTGTTTTCTTTGCGAATTGCGGTAACTCTCCATGGTTCAAAATCAATCGTTTTTGAGTAGTCCGAAAATGTCGGAAACATTAACTTGCTGTAGGTCATGTAACTGTTTGTTACATGCAATATGCTTTGTGGACTTCACTGGAGGTTGCTCTCCAGTTTTATGATGAAACACAGGTGTGATTGAATTTATTCTGCCACTGTGTCTTCTTATTGTCTCGGCCTTTAGGCCTATATATCACGGTGGCAAGGCATATGAACAAAAAGGTTATAGACCAAACAACGCAATTATACACATAGGTTGTAATATGGCAATTTTCTCCTGGCTTGGCTTCCCCAGTGATTTTACCCACACACCTCTACTGCTGTGTGCTTGCACATGCATGCGTGCGTGTCTCCCTATGCAAGCTAAGATGGCCACTCTCTCTAAGGAAAGCCCAGTCCGTCTCAGGGAGGCTTATGGTGAAAACAGCTACGAGAGAGAAGCACCTTTGGCCTCCAAGCAGAGTAAAAGTAATCTAATGGATTTGGCCTCCTAGTAGAGAAGAAAGCATCTACTGTGTGTGAAGTCTACTCCAATCACAGCTAACCATACATGGAATAGTGTTTACCAAGTGGTGGCTTGTGGCTACTTAGCACTAGGTTGTGGAGGAACCAATGTAGTTGGGTTAATGCTGTTCACATGTTATAGACAATTATCATCCATTTCCCAAATGGTTTCACAGATCACCAGGTTGTCATTGCTGATGAAAATGACAAGCAAACACACACACACCCTCAGGGTTCCCCTTGTCATAGAAATAGAGGAAGATGTGCCTGAAGCGTTTGTGTTTATCTCCACTAAGCAGGACACTGATGGGAGGCCTGTGAACCTCTCTCTGTCATGAGGCGAGGACCCAGCATGCATTGCATGGGGCCTGGCCATCCTTTGTGGCAGTTAAAAGCTTGTTTTCCACCTGTTAGGACGGCCCCCTCGCCGTGTACAGAACCCGCCATGGACACTGATGACTGTGTAAATCGGCCATAATTGTCTTTTCAGTTTTCATTTGTGTCATCTTCTGTCTGCCACTCTTCCTCTCGCTCTATCATCCTCTCTCACACTCCCTCCATCTTCTATTGTCTCCTATCTATTCATTATACATTCATATGCAAGCGATCCATATTCAAATGAGAAGAGACCTTTTGCTAAATGGAAATGATTTAGTATCATGTATTGTTGACAAACATCCGGTTCTGAGAGCATCTATAGATGGAATATTGACTACCTTGTTGAAAATGATGAGATTTACTGTTGAGATGCTACTGAAAGGCTTAAGACATGCTGTTGAATGTTACTGATAGTCTATAGACTTACCTTCTGAATATTATGTAAAACCAACCGCTAAACAGGGTTTTTCCATTCCAATGATATAAAACCTATACTAAATGTCTTATTGAAACTATGGAATCCACATGTTGCAGAGAGGAACATAGGCAAGCACTTCTGTGTGCGCTGCTAGCTAAACGTATGAACACATGACAGTAAGTCTCTTTGGATAATAGAGTCTGCTGCTAAATGTCATATATTATTATTATATTAGCTACAGTCGTGACTGTGAACAGTGGACTGACCTGTGGTGAGAGGCCATTGCTGATGCTGGGGTTGACTGTGTTGGAGTGGCCGGGCGGCACAAAGCTTTCCGAGTAGCCGGAGAAGCCATGGCGTCCAGAAGACAGGCAGTAGCCCGAACTACCATCCTGGGCCCCCGCTGAGGAGCCGAGCCCACCCTGGTGCACCGAGGTGGGGGGGAGGGGCTGAGGCCTGAGGACCGTACTGGGCTGCTCTGCCACTGCTGGGAGAGAACGATATATATATATATATATATATATATATATATATAAGATATTATATCCGAGAGAGAGAGAGAGAAGAGAGAGAGAGGAGAGAGAGAGAGAGAGAGAGAGAGAGAGAAAGAGAGAGAGAGAGAGCGAGAGAGAGAGAGCGAGAGGAGCGAGCGCGCGCGAGAGAGAGAGATCGAGATAGGAAGAGATAGAGAGAGAAGAGGCGAAAGGCGAATACGAGAGAATATAGCTATCCGACTAGGGACTGCTCTCTCTCTTCTCTATCTCTCTCTCTATCTCTCGCTCGTCTGCCGCTCTATCGATCGCTCGCTCTCGCGCTCTCTCGCTCGCTAGCTTTCGATCTTCGTACTATAAATGCGGCCTGGACTTCCTGCTAGCTATTGATTTTGAGTCCAAAAACATCAAGTCATGGACTGTTCTCTCTGCTACCGCACGGCAAGTTGTAGCGATGCACCAAGTCTGGAATCAACAGGACTGTGAACAGATTAACCCTCCCGTTGTCCTAGGGTCAAAATGACCCGCCACTGTGTTGAACCAACTTTATTTAATTTTTATATTTTTTGGATCATATGTGAGAAGGAGGCAGTGATACTTTCTTTAAAGTCTCACTGCCTCCTTCTCACAAATGATCCCAAAAATATAAAAATTAAATAAAGTTGGTTCAACACAGTGGCGGGTCATTTTGACCCTAGGACAACGGGGGGGTTAACCCCAATCCATAAGACTGCTAAATAGTTAACCAAATAGCTGCCCGGACTATCTGCATTCACCCTTTTTGCACTAACTCTTTTGACTCATCACATATGCTACTACTACTGTTTATTATCGATCCTGTTGCCACTTTATCCCTACCTATATGTACATATATACCTCAATTACCTTGTACCCCTGCACATCTACTCGGTACTGGTACCCTGTGTATATAGCCAAGTTATCGTTACGCATTGTGTATTTATTCCAGTTACCATTTTTTAAAATTTTATTATTATTATCTCTGCATTGTTGGGAAGGGCCCGTAAGTAAGCATTTCACTGTTAGTCTACACCTGTTGTTTACGAAGCATGTGACAAATAACATTTCCACTACTAGACCATGGTGCTTGCCTACGGAGCAGCAAGAGCAACTGCCCCTCCCTACCTTCAGGCTATGCTCAAACCCTACAACCCAACCCGAGAACTCTCTTCTGCCACCTCTGGTCTCTTGGCACCCCCACCCCTACGTGAATGCACTAACTGTAAGTTGCTCTGGATAAGAGCGCCTGCTAAATGACTAAAATGTAAATGTAAAATTTGATTTGTAGATGAGCTTTGGTGTGCACATATAAAACAAGATCATAGAAAGAAATAGAAGGTGAAGTTGTGCTCACTTTGTGATATGGAGGTGGGAGGGTAGGGGCTGTCTGACAGCTGATAGGGCTGCAAACTCGACATGGCAGAAGGAGGGAAACCGCCAGGGATCAGGTGATTAAATGCCATCAGCTGATTGGCTCCTGCCTGTTTCCTCCACCTGGCTCTCCTGTTGCTGAACCACACCTAAAAAAATGAAATATGTATTATTGTGAAAAATAGAAAATATTGTGTGTGGTGCGTGCGTGCGTGTGTGTATGTGTATGGGCATGCTTACGTGTTTATTCATTGTGTGTGAATTTAAACGTGTGTGTGTGTGTGTGTGTGTGTGTGTGTGTGTGTGTGTGTGCGTGTGTGTGCGTGCGAATAGGCATGCCTATGTGAAAGTATTCATTGTGTGTGTATGTGTATTTGCGCTGTAGCCTCAAGCAGAACAGACATAGAGATACAGTATGAACATCTGGAGCCCAGTGAAACCACAGTGACATCACCTCTTTGTCTAACTCAGTCATGGGTTTACATAGAGACTAGTCTAAATTAAGCACATAAACCAATGAAATCACTTTATCTATCTTAATAAAGACTTTCTAATTCAGGCTTCTATTTTAGTTTATTTGTATGGATATTTTTTACAAAACAGGTCAAAAAAGGAAACTCTCATAACTGAAGACACAGTAGGGCCCTGTGTGTGTGTGTGTGTGTGTGTGTGTGTGTGTGTGTGTGTGTGTGTGTGTGTGTGTGTGTGTGTGTGTGTGTGTGCGTGTGTGTACAGCTGACTCATGTGACTGATGTCTGGAGGGGGTGTATGGGACTGTGGACAAAGACCTCCATAATGTGTGTGTGTGTGTGTGTGCGTGCGTGCGTCTGAGCATGTATGCATGCCTGCCTGTCCATGTGTGTGTGTACTGTATATGCTTGCCCATGTTTGTGTACTTGTGTACTTGTGTGTGAGTGTGTGTGTGTGTGTGTGTGTTTTTGTCTTCACTAACCTGTACTCTGGCCTCTGTGAGTTTGGCCCTCTGAGCTAGCTCTTCTCTGGTGTATATATCTGGGTAGTGCGTTCGTTCAAAGGCTCTCTCCAGCTCCTCCAGCTGCTCGGCTGAGAAGGTGGTCCTACTGCGACGCTGTTTCCTCTTCAGTGGCAGGCCAGGCTCCGAGTCCACATCCGACCCCTCGTCTGAGTGGCTGGCTGCAAACACGCAACACATAATGGTTATTCTGATTTGCCGGTTGGAAAAACTAATGAGGAAAGCTGTTATTTTCAATGGAAGAAGGGAACAACAAAATGTCCTAAGATTTGGAATCTAAAGTAAACGCACTTCTATAAGCGAGGTACACAGAAGCAAAAGGTGTCAAAGATTTGGGATAAATCCTGCAATGTAATGTAATGACTAAGGCCCAGAGTTTTTCCTGGGCAGCTCCTGTGGTCAGGGAATAACATATCTAGTTCTCCCCCCACTATGACTAGGAGCTTAGGGCTTTCACAGGGTAAGATCACTTTAAATATATCCTGAACACCCCTTTTTAACTCCCCACAGGCACCAGTGGATCATAAGATGATCAAAAGAGAGCCCAGTGAGACGAGTAGTCTGCTTAAACATGGATTAAAGGAGTTGTATCCCTGTAGGGCAAAGAAGGATATCCCCTAGGCCTCTAGTCTCATTCATGCTGGGCGCACTGTGGAGATAGCATTCTATAGAGGTAAGGCAAGCAGGGAGACAGGCGCCTATCACCAGGCAGGTGCTGCCTAATCTGCCAACATAAGTGACAGGGGTGCCATTTTGGATGAAAAATGTATCCCAGATTGTGGCTTTAATCTGTTTGCTCAGTTAAGGGCTGCTGGACAGAGGGACAGAAGAATATAGAGAGCGACAGACAGACAGAGGGATATAGAGACAGACAGACAGACAGACAGACAGACAGACAGACAGACAGACAGACAGACAGACAGACAGACAGACAGACAGACAGACAGACAGACAGACAGACAGACAGACAGACAGACAGACAGACAGACAGACAGACAGACAGACAGACAGACAGACAGACAGACAGACAGACAGACAGACAGACAGACAGACAGACAGACAGACAGAGGATCTTTAAGGCCTAATTCAGCAGAAGAGTGGTGAATGCATGATGCTGAGAGACTGAACGACTAAAGCAGCGTATGGGGGAGGCTAGCCGTCTATTAAATAATGATTTGGCTCCTCAAACTAGCGTGACAGCCACCCATTGTCCGCCATTACGTGTATGCAATGCCCTCGACACACACACACACACACAAAATGTATACACACACACACCCACACATGCATCTGCTATGTCTAGGACCTCTGATTTCACGCGTTGCCTTTTCTCTATAACAATGTTTCCAACGCAGATGGCTACAGATAGAAAGGGTTAAACTCCACTCCCTTGAGCTCCTTGCCTGAGAGCGTCTAATCATGAAGTCAGACAGAAGGTAGGACAGAGCTTTAAATAGGACCTCTGTGAGCCACTGAGTCTGTGCTCCTAAAAGCTGAGGCAAATAAAGTTATATTCTAGTGATAGTATTTCCCATATTATTTCCACTGCATGTCTCTCAGTGAGGCATCATAGAGGAGGAAAGAGAGAGAGAGAAGTGTAGAGAGAGGTTAATGGAGGTAACCTCTCCTCCTTTCTTCTTCTCTCCTCTCCTTTCCCCTCCTCCTCCCTCTCTCCTTTCCTCTCTCCTTCCTCTCTCCTTTCCTCTGCAGATTTAGGAGGTTTAATTAAAAAAAGAGCCAGGCAGGCGAGCGGGGCTCCCGCCTCTCCTGTCTCCTCAGCGCCGGCCCCTGGAGCCGAGCAGGAAATGCTTGTGCTGGTTGCCAGTGAAAGCCCGTCCAGGCATTACACAGTGATTTGAGCTCTAGGATTTCTGCTCCGGCTCTGGAACGCCAAAACCAAGATTCCGACACCGGGAAGAGCTCTTTAATAGATTCGGACCAGGGGTACCGGACAGAGCACTGAGACCAGAGAGACTCATGGGAGAGTTGTTGGACGTGAAGAGTAAATATCCATCATGGCAGACAGTTTTGAGCCGTGATTTGGAATACTGGTCTGGCTGGGATGTTTGTGGTACTTTGGCAGCAGTGGTGAGGAGAGGCATGGAACACAGCATGAAGCCTAACTGAAAAACTGATCAAGTATAGTAAACTTAAAAACGATAAACTACTATTTTGGATACTACCACTTAATCTCAAATTCTGCCCCAAAATGATTATGTCCCAAAAGCCACTGGACTTGTTATTCAAATAATTCACAAAACAAGACAAGGATTAATCAAGAGATAAAGATTAAACAAACCAACAAACTTTACAGTCATTACCATTTAAAGGAGAGAAGAGAGAGAGAGAAAATGAGAGAGAGAGAGAGATAGAGCTGAAAACGAGACTCTCAACGACAGAGCGAGAGCTCATAAAGCTCCCCAGCGGCACTGTATCGTGTTAGCTGCAGGGTGGGGGCGGAGCATTCCTCTTTTACTCACTTTCTTTCTCTCTCTCTCTCTCTCTCTCTCTCTCTGTCTCTTTTTCCTCGCTCCCTGTTTTTATTATTAGCAACTGCCGCGAAAACACTACATCACGGCCACTCCGTTAATGGCAAATGACAGTAACTTTTGTCATCCTCCAGACCTTTTTTTCTCTCTTTCTCTCCCTCTCTTTCTCTCTCTTTGGGAGTGATGTGGCCTGGGTTCCTTTGTATGGCGGAGGGGAGAGGCCTGGCAGGGCTCTATTGGGTCAATTTCCACGCTCCATCTGTAGGATCCATCAGGGCTGCCCAGGCCCGCATTCAGGGCCCTGTCACCTGCCCGGCAGGGGATTGGGGGGCTGGGGTAGCAGAGGGGGGTGAGGGGGATGGTGGGAGCACAAAGAGGGCGGAGAGGGGCCACTGGGGGCTGTGGAGGGACACAGCAGGGGAGCGCCCCCCAATCCCACCTTCCACCTAAACCCAGAGGGGCATGGGGATTGGAGGAGGCATGGGGGTTGAGTGGTTGAGAGAGGGGGTAACTGAGAGGGGAGCTGAATGCACCTGGAGAACAGTGTGTGTGGGCAGGGGTTCGGGGGTGCTATGGAGGGAACGAGGATGGCAGGACGGGAGGGAGTAAAATTGGGCATGCTCTCTACTTCCTGCTCTGTGCCGTTCATTCTTAAAACTGTCCCTTCCATCACGTCCATTTCCATCACTAACCTTCCCTCTTTCTCCTAACTCACACTCTCTCTACATCCCCCCTCTCGCAACAACAACATTTGAGTATAAGAAGACCAACCACGTTCCAACGGCGTGGAGGATCGAGACGAGAGGGGAACGCAGGCACAGGAACCCGGAGCAACAGGGTTCCCACACATTCCCGTCAACAAACGGGAGAAGAGGATATTAAACACACAAAGGGAGGCCTCGACCTCCTCACTTAAACACCCAAATCAAATGTTACGCTGAAGCTAAAGCGCCAGGGTGCTGAGAATTCAAAATACTCAACAGTTTGGCAGTGTCTCTGACCACAATCTAAATGGGAAGATAGATTATTATCCCTAGGGGTAAATTGGTTTTGCTGCAGAATTACCCACTAAAATAGACATTTAAACAAAGCAGGACAAGGCCAGTAGATAAAGGACACAATGCATAAGGGTGGCAGGGTGCCACAGTAAGGATAGATAGAGAGATTTTAAACAGGTAGTTTGTGTTAGACAGTGCTTGTCTCAAACTATTACAGACATTTATGTGCTGTTCACACAGAAAGCAGCTCTAACACACACGCACGCACACACACCGATTTACAGAGGGAACACACACAAAAAAGCACACACACAAACCTGAGCTAAACTAAATGCTTTATCGATCCAGGGAGCAGACAGGCAGGGCACATACACACACACAGACGTGAACCATCAAACTGTCCCTGTCCATTAATATCACCTGCAGTAGAACTGTATTTAACAATAGAGGAAAACCTCCACACAGGCCAGACCTCAAATAGGGACTGGCTTTGTTGACTGTGTAGAGTGCAGTGGCCAAGACAAGAGTCACCCTGGCAAGCACTCAACTCTCCACCCTACTCTGAGACATTAATATGAGGAGACACATCACTCACACACATAGTGACTGACACACACACACACACACACACACACAGAGAGAGAGAGAGAGTCGTCAATACACACACATACAGAGAGAGTCGGCAATACACACACACACGAACACACACACACACACAGAGAATCGCCAATACACATAGACACACACACACACACGCACAGAGTCGCCAATACACACACACCCTAAAATACAACCCGTGAACTCTCTGGTTTTGCAATCTCAGCATAAAGACGTAGAAAGAGAGAGATTAATAAAAAAAGAGAGAAGCCTAAAGAGAGAGAAAGGGTTTAGAGAGAGGGCCATATGGGGTCGTTTATGACAGGAACGGTCGTAGAGGCAGGCAGCCCTTCCTCTAGGGGTTCTTACTATAGAGGGTAATTGAGCTGCTGACATGTGTTCCTCTGCACCCAAAACAAAAGGCAAAAGAAGCAAATTAACTAGTTATTTGCCCAGGGAAGTAGATCTGGCCCTTTCAGAGAGCAGGACTCACTGGCCTACTCAATGAATAAAACAGTACATAATCGCCATGGAGGCGTGACAGGGAAATGCTAGGGCTAGACCCAGCAGATGCACGCAGGGTATAATGGTTAACTGAGCGCTTATGACCCCAGCTGGAGTTAACAGTGTGGGTAGAAAGGGGGGAGAAAGAGGAGAGGATGGGGAGGAAGAGCGGAGTGGGGCCTGGCTCTCACTTGACTTGCTAAGGAGCCCCCAGGAGTCTGGGGCAGCTGCCTGGGAATGAGGAAGGGAGGTAGGAGGGAAGAGCGATAGGGTAGTGCCTGGGAATGAGGCGAGGGAGAGAGAGGGATAGAAGACGATGGAGGAGAGGAGCAGACAGGAATAGGAGCGATGGAGGGAGAGAGTGGAGACGAGAGGACTGAACAATGAGACGAGATGGAGAGTTGAGAGAGAGAAAGAGAGGGAGAGCATGAGACTACGCTCGAGAGAGAGAGATGTGGGATGCTAGACAAGGAGAGATTGGGTTGACCTATATGGGGGAGTGTGGGGGAAAGAGAGTGAGAGGGGGAGAGAGAGGAGGGGGGAGAGAGAGAGAGAAAAGTGGAAGACAATGATAGACAGGGAGTGATGGGAG